GGGGGAAAAAAAAAAAAAAAAAAAAAAAAAAAAAAACGTAAACGAATCGGAAAACATTATAAAGTATCTCTACTTCTCGGCCGGCCGCCGATCGGTTGAAAAATAAAGAGACCGTAAATAATATCATCGCGTAAATAATATTATCTAACCGTACGAAATAAAAAACCGACACTATCGTAAGATAATCGCGAGCGTCATCACTGCGCGGCGGACGACGCGACCGCGACAGCTGCGACCGCCGAGTCTTCCGGCGAGCGATTGTTCTCGTCCGGCAGCGGCGGCGGCGGCGATCCTCCGTCCGTGGCGCCGGTGGACGAGGTAACCGAACCGGCACCGTCAACGCCGTTGCCCAACAACCGCTGTTCGACCAGGTACTCGTCGTCGTTGTTGTTGTTGTTGTTGTTGTTGTTGTTGTTGTTGTTGGCACCGGCGGACGCAATCGACTTGCCGCCCTTGGCGCATTGTTTGCCGACGACGTCCACGGCGGCGTACTCGGATTGGTTACCGTAGGCGTACGCGATTTCGGTCACCCGTGAGTCGACGGACGACGACCCGCCGCTGGAATGGTCGCCGGCCGCCGGTTGCGGCTGTTGCACGGCCGCGGCCGGAGCCGGGGCCGGGGCCGCTGTTGGCCGGCGGTCGGCCGTCAGGTCCACCTGCGTCTGACTGCTGGGTTCGAGCACGGCCGCCGCAGAGCCGTGGCTACAGCAGCCGCTGCCGCTGCTGCCGTTGGCCAACAGAGACGCCTCGCGAAATTCGCGGCGCAACATCTCGGCTTCCATGTCGAACTCGTCGTCGTCGTACTCGTATGACTTTTCCGACCCTTCCGCGATCGCCGCTTCTGCCATGCAAACGCCCTGTATAAACACAAATAGTATTCGTAAGTTCATAACGAGTTTGCTGTCACCCGAGACATGAGCTAAAACAACGGTGAAAAAATGTCCGATAAACGGGCAAAAACAATACGAAAAATGCAAAATAAAAACGGTCAAATTCGGGGGTAACCGAATCTTTGAATACAGAAAGAGTACAATATGTTTCAAATTTTAAAATACTTCATGGAGGGCAAATATACCGGTGACTGAAAAATCATTGTATGATGATAGAACAATAACTATAAATGTTAGAGTCTATTTTTTTTAGGTTTCTACAATAACATCGCTCTAGGTGCTTAAGGTGTTTTTGTATTTCTTAACAAATTTTTAAATTTGAGCACGTGAAATTTTTATATGTAGGGATTCAATTATTTTTGAAAAAAAATAAAAAATGATTTTTCTCTGATAATTTTTCTTTCACACTTTACCAGGTTTAGAACTGATAGATTGTGAATTTCAAGGTGGGGATTTGTCCACGGGATTTTGGCGTCGGTAACCATAAATATATCGTATATTGCAGAAAAGAGACTATTCAAACGTTAAAAATAAAATAGCCAATTGACAACAAAAAGGTGACATGTCCATAACATTTCCATGTAAAATGTTTTTTTGCCGAAAAAAAACGTGATATGTTCTCGGCATAAAACATAATATTATATCTTACGGTGCAAAGAGTATATGTATCCCTGAAATAAAGAAAATAATTTTATTTAAAAAAAACCTTTTGTACTTTTTTAGTAGTTCTAAACTTCTCATCAAGTTACATTCAGACATTCGGACAATACGCAGTATAATAAAAATGAACGCCTGATTTTCATTAATCATATATTTATTATTTCATTCGGCGTTTGGTTTCCCGACCACCGTTGAAAAAGTTTAGGCAAAGTATAGGAGTCTCGTTTTTTGCCGTTAGCGATTCGTAATAATAATAATAATAATAGGTGCGTTCTATATTGGAAATCGGAATGCGCCGTCTTTGAAAAGCGGTGGGGATTGGGTAGAAATCCAATTTAACTAATACTCGAATATAATTGCAATCCTAGTCATAGTAACTCCGGCGCCGATAAATCCGATTCACCGATTCCGATGTAGTACACCGCGGTTTGGTTAGGTTACGGCGAGCGTTTATTTGCGTAGTCTCGCGACGTTTCGTGATTTTCGGTCCTTACGACTTATTGCATGCGACGGTTTAGTGAAAACAAAACAAAAAAAAAAAAATAAATAAATAATAATAATAATGTAAACCCAGATAAACGACATCGTCGAAACCGTTGGCCTTAAAGTTCGCGAGTAAACGATTTCGGCCGTCTCTCTCTCTCTCTCCTCCCCTCGGTAAATGTTTTATTTTTCCGTCTTACAATTGTGTAGGATCGTATCGACGAAACGTTTTTATATTTTAAGTCGGGATTTTCGCTGATACACCGAATTGAATGAAAGCCGTGTATTTGCTCGGAGCGTAATATATATTGTATAATATTGACGATCTACCAACACGTGTCGCGACGACGACAAATGTAATATATATTGAGTGGGTACGTTTGACGAAAATCCATTTTATCGTACGTCTCGTACGTATAATGTAGGTTAGGTACCCACTTCGAAATCGAAATAAACATTTCGTTTTTCTTCGACAGTATACGACAATAATTTTTGTTAGAAATGCCCCGACTGTTGTGCAACGAAAATACGCATTTACACGGAGAAAAAACGAACTTAATCATTGTTCATGTCGATTGATACATCAAGCGAATGGTTATACCCACGTCTACTGTGTTTTCGGGCTAACCAATGGGCGGAGCGTGGCAGAATCACGTTACTGTTAGAACATAAATGGTAGCGTTCAGGTTGAAATTGGAGTTGCATGTACTAATAACACGATTTAAAGAGGATAATGTTTCCGACTGCTGTACTTAGTTTTTCACACAGTAACGTTAGTTTTGTTTCTTGTGTGATCGACATATTGCGGGACTGTTTGAAATGCGCGCTATAAGCATATATGCTTTTGTACGTGCTTTCTCTATAATTTTCTTTGATTTTATGTAACAGATAATTTTGAAAAAAAATTTGTTTTATGTGTAATGGCAATTTTGTAATATGAAATCTAAAATAGGTGCACTTGGTGAGCTTTTTTTTTCAATAGAGGGGATGGTTGGAGATGATTTTTTCTTCTATTTTGATGATTGATTAATAATTATTATTATGATAAAATTTCAAAATTTTTTCATTATGATTTATCATACCGAAAAATTCCCAACAAACCTGAACTTAGATTTGTTTTTAACCCTCGAGATTTCTTCGACATTCTCGGGACAAACTTTGCTGTCGATCAGCACATAATATGTAGTTTTTCAGTTACAATTTTTTACATAAGTCATGTGAAATTTTGCAATTATCTGCCAAAGTTCTGTCATTTCATTTGAAGAAAAGTATCCTCTCTAAATAGTTCAGATAGTTCAATAGACAGTAAACCTGAATATAGCTTCTTTTGTCAGAACTACTGAATATTTTGTATACACAAATTGTAAAAAGTTATTCTCTTACAAAAAAAAATAATAAAAAAAAAAAACATTGAAATTAGAGCGTTTTATGAGGCATACGAGTTATTACCGCAGACATTTTCAGCCGTACCCCTTCCTCTTAAACGGGTATCGGGTAGTAGATTAGTGGAAAGTATTCCCTTAAAAGTGGTCATTTACATGTTAAAAACAATTTTTAAATAGAAAATTTTGGAAACCAGGCTCTGGCAGTCAAAACGAAATAAAAAACGAGTGATATAGGTGTTTATTTAATATATATATTATATATAAATAGGTATAAAGGAACTCGTATTATTTTTTTTTTTCTTACACACATCGTTCGATTCCAAATCGAATAAAAACG